TATTTTCATGCGATATAAATCATCACTTGTAGTAGCTTAGATACGCATCACATAGTCACGTAGCCATTACAAGAATACTATTTATGATTGATATTTATTCTCTCGCTTCTTCGCTATCTCTCACAAGATAGATATTTTCACAAAACCTGCAGCTTCAAATCACTAATTTGTTTATTATTCATCTTATTATTATTCATTACTGATAGTATCTGATCGGATTGTCAACAGAACTGTTTGTTTTCATTATTCCGGTCATTGCTGCTATTTAAGGACGACAATTCAAGTTAAAAATTGCGGTACATTTTGGGTTTATCGCTTGCCTTCAACATCACATTTTCCACTTTGTGCTCGTTACTGTTCAACCAAGATTGGTAACGTATAAAAGCTATTGGCTAACCTAGGATAGTTTTTATCAGAGATAGTATTGACATAGACTACTAAAAGTAGAAAGAAGCAGGACTGCCAACAGTTGTTGACTATAATAATAATGATGAGGCTGATTGTATTACTGGCGATTTCAACTGAATCGGATATCTGTAAAGGCACATTATACTGTCTGTGATTGATATCTAAATTAGCTGCTAGGTTGGTTTTGTGTAGTATGGTATACGGTTTCATTCGTACCGTATAGTAGAATGACCGGGAAGATGATAAGCCTTTTCATTATTTTGCGCTGACCGCCATTGGCAGTCCCGTTTTTTCCTTATTTTGTAGTCCCATTTATAGACTGTGATAATAATTTGCCACTATTAATATCCGGTCGAAATATGCTGTATAAGTATATTAATTATTGGTTGTAGAGCAGTCCAAAGTTAGCGTTGCGATTAAGGTCATTAGAATGATAAGACTGTACTAGAGTAGATTAAATTGTACTTTAGACTGTTAATATTTATTTATAGATAGATAAATTAATTTATGTAACAAACTGGAGTTTTATAAAACTTGGCAGTTATAGTTATAATATTTTGTAGAAATTTTATCACGTCGACATAGAAATTTTATATTTCAATTCACAGACTTTTGCGAGTTTGATCCTTGCGGCAATCACGGCACCTGTACACAAACTGCTCGTGGATACACATGTACTTGTGCCGCTGATTATACTGGCCAGAATTGTCAAATAGGTACTAGTCTACTTTAAACGAAGATAATATTCTAATGTTCGCAAACTTGTTTACCGCTATAAGTTTCTGTAACGTTTATTCTATAGATAAAGTGGTTTCCAATATGTAAAATTTAACGTAAAACGAGTTCTATACCGTAATTACAGTGATGTTATTAATTACAAATGCAATACACCTTTATCCTAGTTTTAAAAGAACAGAATAAATAACCATACGAAAATAGTTACAGAATGACTGAAATTTGACTTAATTTAATAACTTATTCTAGCGATTAATCCATGCCAAAGTAATCCATGTCGCAATGGATTTTGTCGAGCTCGCGGCTTGAACTATCAATGTTTATGTAAGAAAGGATATACAGGACGTAACTGTGATCAAGGTATATGATTGTTAAAATGAACACATCTACACACCGATTTCTAGCAATAGTTTATTATGGATGCTGTTATCTTGCACTGATATACTGTTTACGAAATGATTAGATTAAAATGCAGCGATTTCATTATTTTTGAGTAGACATTGATGAATGCAACCTGAGAATTTCAAGATGTCCCGGTATTTGCATTAATACACCCGGTAGCTACCAATGCTCTTGTGAGAAAGGACGTATATTACTGCCAGATGGTCTAACCTGCATAGGTAGCATCTGCATTGTTATCTCGAATAACTTTATTGTGGAAAATATCGGATTTTTAATCGTTCCATCTATTCTTGTACATTTTTAGATCCATGTATGTCCTACAGAGATATTAAAGACACAACAAGAAGCATTAAATATTCAGGTTACACACTCAGCCTGTGTGATTATGAAATAATAAAACAGAATTTCACTTGGTATCGATTTAATGGAGGTAAAAATAGTCAAATGATGCTTACCAGACAAGTTATGATGAATCAATGTGGAACCAATGCTCCTGGATGGCTAGTAACACCTCATCCTACAGGTAGAACTTCATATTAGGCAATTTACTCAATTTAAAATCAGTCGTAGGAAATAGACCTAGTATGCTGTTATTGATTAAATTTAATTGTACGGTAGCTCAGATTGACTAGCAATCTCCTCTTACTGAAACATGTTAACGTGCAGTAATATAAAACAGTAGCTGGGTATACTTTACACAATTCTGTAAACTTATCCTACACATCTAATATTCGAGCTTCCTGATTGATAAATTCCTTCGCAATGTAGTCTCTTCAATACATTACACTAGAGAAAAATCTTTGGCAATTATTTTACAGTTCATCACATAAATGGTTCATTTTTAGTACCCTTACATTACCATCATCTTTGCAATATTTAGTAAAAAAATCGATTGCACTAGCTGATA